ACTGGGGTAAATTGTAGTCAATGTCATGAGACAGAGTGTATGTGAGCTGATGTATGGAAAGTGAATTTGCTCTGTAAATTTTCACCCAAATCACAATAAATAAATCAATAAAAGCCTGCAAGTAGCCATCTAGATTCAACAATGGGCCTCTCTTTGTCCAGAGCAAAGAAGAATGAAGAAAACCAAAAATGCATGGAAACAATTAGTCCAAGGGACAAGTGGACCATGTAAACCTCAGCTGATATGACCATGAGACCAGAAGAACTAGATGGTGCCTGACTACCACTGCCAACCACTCAGAAAGGGACCACTGCAGGAGACGCTGGGTAGAGTAGGAGAACAATGTGGAACAAAACTCAAAATCATAAAGAAGACCAAGTTTACTCGTCTGATAGAGACTATGGCCCCTAGTTACCCCTTCAGGTCTAGAATTGAACTCACTCCTGTGGCTTCCATCCAGACAAGAGACAGGCATATCAGGATAAACATTTACATCAGGTAGGTACACTTCTTAGATCAATCAATCATGGGAGAACGGAAGGGCAATATTTGCACAGGGAAGATAGCTCAGGGGGCAGGAACGCATAAGAAAGAAGGACAGAGGGAAGAGGTAACTGCAGGGAGGAAATGGGAAAAGAACTGGTACACTATGGGGAATTACAGTCAATGTCATGAAACAAAATGTGTAAGAAATGCTGCATGGAAAATGAATTTGCTCTGCAAACTTTCACCAAATCACAATAATTTAAAAAAAAAAAAAAGAGCTACCTAACAAGAACTATGCCTAATTTAGCTAGATCATTGTACTGGATTTATGTACCTCTTATATTATAGAAGGAGCTCTAGTGGCTCAGTGGTTAAAGCATTGGACTATTAACCAAAAGGTCAGCGGTTCAAACCTACCAGCCGCTCCATGGAAGAAACATGAGGCAGTCTGCGTCCCTAAAGATCTATAGTCTTGGAAACCCTACGGGGCAGCTCCACTCTGTCCTTATGGGGTCACTATGAGTCAGAATTGACACAATGGCACTTGGTTTGTTTTTGGTTTTCTATTACAGATTATGCTTCTCTACTTATTTTCCTAAATCAAGAAGTTACACCTCTATTTATAAATCTAAGTCTGAATGTCATGTTTGTGTGTATATTTTTTTGTATGATGAAATACTTCCAAATGTAAAAAGAGTTGAGAGGGTCACATAAATAGACTATTTCAAGTACCATCACATGGTCTAAAGCAGACATCAAAACCCCAGACCTACAGTGGGTAATTCTAGCTCAAAGTAATATGGAATCCAGGGTGAATGGTGGATTTCAAGATTCACCTAAACCAAAAAACCAAACCCAGCACCATCAAGTTGATTTCAACTCAAAAGATCTTACAAAACAAAGAAGTGTCCCACAGGGTTTTCAAGGCTGTAATTTTTACAGGAGCAGACTACTATCTCTCCCTCTCCCGCAGAGCAGCTGGTGGGTTTAAACCACACTTTTTGGTTAGCAATAAGTGCTTAACTACTTCACCACCAGGATCCACCTAAAGGTACTCAAATTAAGGCAAACAAAACACTTGTGTGGGCCAAATAGAGCACCTGAACCTGTTCACAACCAAGCCCTAGTTGAAGAGAAAGGCTTTGGCAAGAAACAGGCCTAGGCGGTAATCCGTTTCCTAGCAGTGAACTCCCCCAGTACACACTCTTAACTCCTTAGCATTAACTGAGATAATGAAAAGCACATTATATAATTAGCAACTGATTAGGAGACCTGAAAAATCTAAGCTAAATTAGCCTATAATAGTACTAATATTTGAGCCTTTATGTGGCAGTTATAGTCTCAATTAATGCAATGCCAGTTTAAAATCCACATTATTAATCCTAGTCCACAGATGCAGAGAAACAGTATACACTTGCCCACGGCCATAAGCAAGTCAATGGAGATAGAGTTCTCACCATCGAAGGTAAATAACCAAAGGAAACCCACTGCAGTCGAGTCGTTTCCAACTCACAGTGATCCTATAGGACAGAGTAGAACTGCCTCCTAAGGTTTTTTAGGCTATAATCTTTACAGAAGCAGGCTGCCATATTGCTCTTCTGTGGAGCAGCTGGTGGGTTCAAACTGTCGACCTTTCAGTAAGCAACGCTGAGTGCTTTAACCACTGTGCCACTAAGGATCCTAAATAAAGTAAATAAGGCTGGGCTCAAATTTCTCTTGATTGAAACTGTACTTGATTGAAGCCTGTACTTTCTAATTCCGCTTCCATTTTAAATCATGTTCTATTTTGGGGAAGAGCTTTGGTGGCACAGTGGTTAAGTGCTCGGCAGCTTATAAAAAGGTCAGCAGTTCAAACCTACCAGCCACTCCTCAGGAGAAAGATGGGACAGTCTGCTTCCATAAAGATTTACAGACTCGGAAACCCGATGGGGCAGTTCCACTCTTGTCTTTAAGGTTGCTCTGCGTTTGAATCGACTCCAAGGCTATGAGTCTGGCATATATCTTGGGGGACAGAGGGAACTATTGCTTCCTCCCACAAGACACATCCCCTGGTTAAGAAGTGGTATGAACTGCAAACTCCTGGTTCAGAGAACCAAGTACTCCCCCACCCCACCTCCAACAGCCCAAATCAGAACTGACCTGGCACAACCACACAGGTTGGTCAGACAGAAAATAAAGGCAGGAAAAAAGAGAAATGGCAAAGCCAGATTCACAAGTCTGGTTGGAAGTGTTCAGGCTGGTCAAGCTTCTGGTGTGTATACATGCACATTTCACTTGGAACAACTTTTCAAGAGTGAACTTGACGCCCTCCATGACCTAGAGGCCTGGGTCAAAAGGTCTTCCCGCTGATGCCTGCTGCAAAGGTCCCGGCTTAGGCACGAAGTGCTCTAGATGAGGCCCTGACATCAGCAGCCCCCTCACCCCTCACCCCGGATACTGCAGCCAGTTCTCACTAGCAAGGCTTCCCGGATGTCCGTGCCTCAGAGCCACAGATTGACAGCAGCACATTCCCAAGGAAAGACCAGAACACATTCGGCCTTCACGCTGCCCGGGCCCTGGCCCGGGACGGTAAGAGTTCCTTCCAGAACACGACTTCCCAAGAGGAGGGAGGACCGGCAGTCCAAGATGATGGTGGGAGCCCCCCAAGGAAGGCGGGGCTCGCAAACCTGGGCCGGCCCCGACCGGCGACAACCATCTCTGGAGGCCGCCATCGGGCTGGGCAGAGCGTGGGGCCCGAGGGGACCCCAAGGCGCGCCGAGGGGCCAGGGCAGCCAGAACCCCAAGGTAGCCGGTCACCGGAAGTGGAGGCCGTAGTGCCGGGGCCGGGGGTGTCCGGAGGCTGCAGGCTGCCCACTTCCTGCCGACCAGCCTGGCAGCAGGAGCCCGGCCTGCGGTTGCTTAGGAAAGGAGATCCTCGAGGCGAACCCAGTGCTTCCTCTATTTTGGTGTCTGAAGAGAAACTGAGTTTCTAGTCACCGGGGAACTGCGAAGGGCCTCGGCCCATTTTGGCGCCAAATGACCAAGGGCGCGCGCGACCGGAAGTGCCACCCTGCTCGCGCCACCCGCCGCCGCGCCACCCCGCGCATGCGCGTCCGCCTGTCAGCGTTGGACCCGGGCCGCCCCGAGGGGAAGCGACCCCCACCCAATTCTGTGCCTCCCCCCGAGTGCGCGGTCTCCCGCAGCACTTACCGCCTGCGGACATCATCGGGCAGTGAGATGGCCGGGGAGGCCAGCGCGGGCACCCGGGCTGGGGCGGTGCGGGCGGGCATCTCGGAGAATGCAGTTGAGGCGGCGGCAGCGGTGCGGGCAGCCCCGGCTTTTCGCGCGGAAACCGACGGGGAGGGGCAGCGAACGGAGGCGGCGCGTACCACCCAGGCCCGGACTCGGGGAGAGGCGGGATGTACCAAGCGAAGAGAGGCCGTAACATGTGCGTGCAGACAGAGTGGAGCAGGCCGTGCGCAGGTTCTACGCATGCGTCGGGCCGATGCTCACCCCTGCGTGGAGCAGTGGGCTCGCCCAAACTCCGCTGTTTGGAGGGAAGGGGGCGCCTTGCTGGAGACATTCATTCATTCATTCTTTTGGGCAGTTAGGGATAAAGCTGCGACCAGCCGCAGGGGATTACGAGCGTGTGGGCTCTTGAGTTAAAGTCCTCATTTCCAATCCCACTTCCACGTGTTTCCTCACCATCCGACCTTGGGCGAGCCACTTGGACTCAGCCTCGTTTTCTCGTCTGTAAAATGGGGTTAATAGTACCTACTACAGAAAATCTTGAGGTACAGAAGTACCAAGGACTTTGGCGGGGCAGGGAGGCCCAAGCCACTTCCACAGCCTGTGTTTGAATAGCACCAGAACAGGGTTAAAAATTGTGGTGTATTTTTACATCTTTGTAGTTGAAAAGAATGCATTTTATACACACACCTCAACAGCTAGGGGTGGGAGGGGTCTCCCTGACCAAAAGTGGACCTTAGGCCCTCTGATTGCTATGCACCCATAGCATGCATGGCAGGATTCAAGAGGACTGAAAATACTAGTAAAATTTAGTGTTTACTGAAAATATTACTAAGACTGTGGTAGCATAGTGGCTAAGACACTTGCCTGCTAACCAGACGGCTGGC